GAAGAAACAACAGCAGAAGAAGAAGAAAGGGGCTAAAGGAGGGTGGTAAAAAGCAGGATGTGTAACCTCCCTCCCTCAGTAGGTGATGCTGGTTGCAGAATAAAGGTCGAAAGAAAGTGCTGGTAAAAGACTCTTGGCATCTGGATCTCTGTCCTGCCTGTCAGCGGTCTGGGGGGAGGTGGGCTGGTGTAGGCACCAGGATGTATGTGTCTGCTCACCAAGCTGCCTTCCTCACACTTGCATCCACTGTGACTTAGGGTGTGGGCATCAAACTCAGATGCACGCCATAAGAAGAAATCTGTCCATGTTGCCAAACTTTTAAAAGATGTGGAATAATCAAGAACTTAGTGAATTTGCATTTGATTTATGCTCCTCCTGTGTATGTCAGTTAAGGTCTTCAGCAGATTTGTCAGCCAATGTCTCTGACCATGTGTGATGCGAGCGCTGTCTGGTCTCAACCCAGTTGGTCATTGACCACCAAACAGCACAAGCACCAAGGGTCTTGGGAAAGAACATATGGGCTAGATTATACCAGTAGAAGATAGTCTGAAGGGGAGGACAGGGCTGTTGGGAGAAAGAGTGGCAAAGTGTGTGGCAGCTGACTGAGTGTCCCCTTTTCTGCAAGCCAGGTGCCTTATTCTAGCAGGGCCTGGCAAGACCAGAGTGAGCTAAACCGAAGTGGCTGGTTGTGGTGGTGGGCATGGAAGAGGCGTTGTGCTTCTCAGGTAGAAGCTGGTGGTGAGATGGAGAAGTGTTTGCTCTTTTTACACCCCACAGGTAGCACCCAAGCATCTCTTGAAAATTCTGGCTTGATCTGGACGTGGCAAAACATTTTTCCATACGGTGGGTAGAAATAGCACCTCAGGGAGAGTTGTCAGATGCAAAGGCAGAAGTCTCTGCCAGAATTTAAAGCCAAGGCCTGAAGAGGTGGGGAGCAAGGGAAATATTGCTGTGTCTTAGCACTTCACCACCACCTCGCGCACACTCCAGTGGTCATGGAGTAAAAATCGAAGTAGAATTTAGTCTTTATCACCTTTACTGTACACTGGCACCAGCTGGGAGGGGGTTGAATGTGTGTTGTGCTCTGAGTGAGAAAGAACAGAGCATTGAGAAAACAGCTTTCTGAATGGCTGGCAGAGGCACCTGCTGCCGGGTGAGTGCTGGATAGAAGGGATTGTTCCAAATGTGTGACTTGTCTGGGTGCTGTGCCTCCTCTTGGCCAGCGGCTGGTGACTGCAGGCGAGAGCACTATCCTGCAGCTTCTGGAGGGTGATGTGGAGAGAGGAGATGCTGGAGGAGAATGCAACTCCGTGTTCCCCAGGCGTCTTCTCTGGTTAAACCTGGCTGAAATGCTCGCCGAGACGGGGCAGCCTCAGCCGAGGGCGCAGCGGACGGGGCGGGCGCCGCGCGTCCCGGGCTGCAGGGGGAGCCGTCCCTGCGCGCTCCCGCTGTGTTCCCGCCCGTCCCTGCGCGCCGCCGGGCGCCCAGCGGAGCGGGCCAGCCATGGGCTCCCGCC